TATATACATAAAATGTCAGTTATTTTCTGACAGGGGAATTAAGTTTTCCTTGGGGGAAGAAGAGGAGATGATGATCACGGGGGGATTTTTCATTGTTAGGAAAAACCCCTAGTGGGAGATTGGGAGATATTGGATTAATGGTAGAAGATGTCAGCTGTGGACCTTTGGGAGATGAAGAATTGGATAATTATGATTTATTATATTATATTTTTCTTACTGGATAGATATTAGATTGTTGTTTTATTTAATGAATAAATTTGGATCGTCTTGTTATGAAATATGGTTTGTTTTATGTTATGAAAGGATGGCTTTTTATAATTAATATAGGTCTTTGTTATAATTAAATTTCTAAATAATATATTATGGCCAGTTAACACATAGTATATGGCCATATGTATTGACTGGCCAGAAAAACAACTTTCACTTAATCTAATTTAGCTCATAAAGTATTATATATAAAGCTTTGATTTAAATTTTATTTTAAATATTAATATTTAGGCTATACATTGATATAAAATTATTTGGTTAAACATAATTTTTAATACCCTTTTTTAAAAAAAGCAAAACATGTCCATTCATGGCACATTTCCCCTATATATTTAATTGCTATTTCTTAAATTTCCTTTTAGAATCAATACACTATTATTTCCGGTTTTCCCCTTTCCTTTATAGGTTAATTTTATTGTTATTTTTTTTATATGCTCAATATCATTGTTTTCCAGTAAGAATCAATGATAATAGATAAATATAAAAATTAAAGCAAATAATATTTTAAATAAATAAGATAATGAGTAATAATTATAGAAATTGATTACGATTCATTACCTAGTCTTCTGAAAATCGTAAGAATAATAAATATATTGTGATGAACGAGTTATTCTGAAGAAAAGAAAATCTGTGTCTTAGTATATGGATAAGAACTGAACGATTTTAATTTATTAATTCTATCATAAAGCATAAAATAATATTTAAATCATGTATTTTTAAAAAATACTTTTCATTTTAGGCAGTTTTATAATATTTCATAGCAGTAAAATGCATTTGTGGGATCGCGTAATGACATTCAAATGACTTTTATTTTAGATTTAAACTATCTTCAGGAAGATTCATTTTTAAATTTCTGCTAAGCGTATGGCCACAATTACAGTAAAGCAATGTTTTTTAATAATTGCTAAATAACAGCATAACTATATTTTATATATCATTATTTATTTTATAATTTAAGCATCACTATACGATTTCGCCCTAACTTATAAATGGGGCCAGATTGCGCGTGACAAATTAGAACTAACAGAATAGTCAAAACGATTCGCATCGCAGAGTCAGGCTGTTCAGTTAAGGTATTTGAGTTTCACATTGATCAATTAAACTAATATCAATAAAAGTGAGTTTATCTTGATCAATTGTAACTACTACCAATGAAACTAGAAAAATAGAATATCCACTTTTGGGTAAAATTTTATTATTGACAAAAGTGGTGTCGAGGTTAATGTTAACGGGGATTTACACTGATAAATTTGAGGATAAATGAATTCCAGAGGAAAATGCGTTTTGGAAGATCCTTATTTTTGAGATAAGGGGAAAATTCGTGCTATCGATTTGGTTGGAGAAATAAAATAATAAAATATTTAAATATAGAAAAGCAGGGTTGTGCATTTGACCGGTCAAATACGTTTCGGTCAATTGACCGATATTTGACCGGCCAAATATGGTCAAATACGGTCAAATTCAAATATATTTTTTTAAAGTTAATATTAACTTTATTTTGAATATAATAGTAAAATGAATCTATAATATTAATTTTTTAAATTCATTCAATAACTAACGTGTAGCTATCTGTATCAGAGTCTTGTTCTGATTCATATTCAATATTATCATTTTCTTTAATATTTTTTAAACAATTTTCCTGATATCTTAGATCTTAAATCGATTTCTATTTTCATAAGAATATTAACCCAAATCGACCTATTTCTTTCTAAAGAAGAAGTAGAACTAGGAATTGTTAGTCTCTTAATGGGCAGGGTAGACAAAGTTTAATCTATTAACTTGAGGTCGGAATTGATTGTTTCTGGAAATTACTACTTTCCACATATTTTGCTATATTAAACATGCTGTTTTTGCTTCTGAAATTATATATATCACTTAAAATATTTTGGTCATCACTACCTTGTAAAATAGCTAATTCTTGAATTATATCACATACTTCATTAATTACACTACTAGTGAGTTCTCCTCTTGATATTGTGGACCCGAAAAATAAGCAAACATTGTGATCACATGTATTTACATCTTTTTTCCCTTTTTTAAACATATTTTTAATTTATTTTTCCTTTAAATTTTTTAGAGTATTTGACCGTATTTGACAGGTCAAATACTCCTCCGGTCAATTGACTGAATTTGACTGGTCAATTGACCGACTTGACAACCCTGTAGAAAAGTGATTTTAAATTAGCTAGAGTATTTAAAGAAATCTAGAGAATTTTTTAAAACGATCCGACTCCCTAACTACCTTTGGAACCCTCAGATGGCTGAAATAATAATGTGTATTAAAATAACTTATATAATCAAGATTTTAATAATTTTATCGATTCTAAAATTAAATTTTTTTTTATTATAATTAAACTATCCTACCTGTCAAAGAATGAGGGATGATTATTAATTTTCCCTTCATTTGATAAGAGGCGAATCCTAAATGGGAACTACTTCATTCATATTTACACGTTGGCCTATGACATGTCCTAAGGAGAACGAATGCAAATTATGCGAAGCCCCATCCTCGACAGTTTTTTTTTAGCAAGGAAGTTCAGAAAACCTTATGTGAGTTATTGTACAAGGCACAAATAATAAATGTTAATTATTTTATGAGGTATTAACACAGAGACCTTCGTGGTAGTTTTGTTAAAAAGCCCGATTTGGGTCAATTTTTAAAAACGGCTAAGATTTTAACCAATATAAAATTCTTAATGAAGTTGGGTCTAAAATATATTTACATTTAGATTATTTAAACAATTGATAACTTAAAAAAAAATTTGCAATTTTTTTCTTCTAATAAACAAATTTCAGTATTATAAACAAGGTGATTAATAAACTTAAATATTGTTTATTATAATTAAATTTTAATATAGGCTTGGGAAAAATCTTTGAAGCTTATTATGGGCTTGGAAATTTTTTCCTAATGCGGGCTTATTAGCCGGCTAATACGAGTTTTTAGCCGAACAATACTCTGGCCTTGGGATTTTACTTTAAAAGATAGCAACTCAAATTTAGAAGAAACTAATATAAATAAAACAACGGATTTTCTCCTGCAGGTGCAAGATTAAGCCGAAATTTAGTCATTATCCAACTATAGTAAGGCGATATCTCATCTCTTTTAAGAGGGCAGATATCTAAAATCAAATTCACTTAATAATTTTATGCTTGAAATTATATTTAGAATATTGTATATTTCTTATAATCCATTATATTAATTTTTTTTTACAAAAAAACAATCTAATTACTTATCTATACTTTATGACATAAATCGTTTACAAAAACCAATCAGATAGTACAAAAAAACATATGTATAACATTATTTAAATTGCTAAATTTGTTAAGTGATCTCTAGCTTAAGCGAAAAGGTTCTTAAACTTGTTGGGCGAGTAAATGGTTCAAATCCCGCAGATATTCCTAAATAAATTTCAAATAAAAATCTTTGAAATCAAAAACCTAATAGTCGGGCCTGTTCAAATATGTCGATGCGGATTGGAATTTATAAAACAAATTTTTAAAGAATTTTAAAAAACAAAATTAACATTAGGTTCTATAATCTCCTTTAATTGTAATATATTAGTTTCAATTGATAAGAAAGTTGAGATTAAATTGTATTAAATTTGATTAAAGCTCAAGATTAAGCTGAAATTAGTTTAACATGAAGTTGATATGAAAATAAAATTTAAACATCAAGATTATATGAAAATGAAATTTAAACATCAAGATTATATGAAAATGATATATATATATGGATATTATCGAGTATGCTAATTTAAGTTGGAATAATAACTTTATACAATAATCCTGGATGCTATTTAATGATTTATTATAATACTGGCTATATATTTTATATTGTAACAAAAGATGAGTATCCCTTCTTGGTCACTCATGACCTCTTTATTTTATTTATTCTAAGTCGTTCTGTCAAAATCCTATTATAAAAATTATTATCAAATGTTCATCTCTATTTGACTAAAAGTGAAAGCGCTGAAAGATCATTTTAAGAAGAGTTCATTAATATAAATTATACTTTTATATAATATATTAAATGTCAAAATATAATAAATTATAAAATTATACTTACAATTTATTATACATTTGTATTATAACTATTGTATAAATTAATTAAATACGATAATATTTGATATTTTTTACAAATTTTTATGAGATTAATTAATATTAATTATTATTATTATAATAGCTGAAAGAATTCGAAAGCCATTTACACAAGGATTAAAAAAATACTAATATTTAATATATTTTATAAATTGGTGTATATAATGTTTAAAAATAAATAAATATAATTATAAATCTATTATACTGTTGGTGATGAGTGTTGGTTTGGTTGAGCCAATATTTTAAAAAAAGATAAATAATTTATATCTTATAGTAAAAAAAAATTGGATAAAAGTGGCAAATCTTAAAAGTATTTATAGAGATTTTTTGGACATTTTAATTAAATAAATTTTGACTATATTATAGAAATTTTGATCAGAAATACTATACCTTAAAAAAGTAAATTTATTGGTAAAAGTTAAAACTTCCAACAGGCACAGTTAAATTTAGGAAGCACGTGATAATATAATAATCCATGATTAAAAAAAAGGTATAAAAATTCAAAAAACTCTTAAAAAATATTTTCAACAGTTATCTAATGTAATCGCGCGATTTTATAATAAACTTCTAGGAAGGAAAAAAAAGAAAAACGAAGTTAAATTCAAAAATAAAGAATTTTTTTAAAAATGGTGGGGGGGGGGGGGGTGCGCATTAGATTCTTTCTCAACAACAACTGTTTTTGGTGCGGGAAAAGGCGTCCGACAGAATTTCGTTACGAATGTTTCGTTTATGAAACACGTCTATCAAGGCATCGTCACCTGCAGACTGATATATGGTAGACGCTCTGTGATTGATAGGCCCGTGAATTAAAAGACCGGCCTGATTGACCAATGTGGGAGAGGGAGATGGATGGGTGGAAAGCAGGTGCCGAGCCACGTCGTCAAAAAGTTTGGTAACGTGAAAATCGTCTGTACCATCTTTGGCCGATGTTTCGGAGAGCAATGGCAAAGAGTGTGCTTGAGCGAACTCAGAGGCCTCGGTTTGCGTGACCTGACGTTCGGGAATTCGATCGTTTTTGTTGCCTTTTGCCGTTTCATTTAAAGAGAGTTTTTTTAAAGAAATACAAACTTCCTGTTTAGAATGATAATTAACAATTAAATGCTATGACAATCTTTAGTCCTTAGTATAGGTAGAAATATTCTCTTAACCCTGTTTAACAAACTATTTAAGTACAGATATAAGATATTTTTTTAAAATAACCCACATTATATATGTGATACAACCCACCCCTGATATCATCATTATAAATATATAATTTATCAATATTCCATGGCAAAATTTTTATTTTACAAATAAATATTTTGAAACACATAATAAATTTAAGGATGCATGACTTAAGTTCATCGACGTGTTTTTTTTTTCGTTTTTATAAATATATTAATAAGTTATTTAATAATTTCTATATTTTAGGTAAAATTAGAGGTTTGATTCGGTATCAAGTTGATCGGCCGATGACCGATAATAGCCGATTCGACCGATTATTTATAAAAATATTAAGGGGAAATGTCTATAGATATGTATATGAATTATTCCAATTTATCTATTTTTCGATTTAGCATAAATTTATATTTATTTTTTCAAATGATCGAATATAACATTATAAAAATCGGCAAAATTTAGATAAAACATTTATATACATTTGATATCTTTAAGAAAGTTTTAATTTTATTATGAAATGAGGTACATTCTTATTTATGTCAATATTTTTTTTCCCCATTTTATAATGTTTAAAATAATTGCAAAAAAAGGAAACATAAATGATGGGTATTAATAAAAAATGATTGGTTTAAAATATATAGGTGATCGACATCGCTCATAAATTGTTTTTGATGAGAGAAAAGGTGTCTGACAGAATTTCGTTGCAAATGTTTCGTTTGTGAAACATGTCTATCACGGCATCGTCACCCGCAGATTGATTTATGATATACTCTGTGATAGGCCCGTGAATTAAAAGAGAGGCCTTTGACCAATGTGGTGGAGGAAGATAGATGAGTGTAAAGCAGATGCCCAGCTATGTCGCAAACGGTAGTGAGGGCGCATAGGGGGAGGCAAATTCCTTGAAAGCTTTAAAGAGCCCAACCTGAATTTTTTTAGATATAGTTCCTCTTTTGCAAATTTCAGGTAGAATTTTGTTTTTAGCACATTTTAGATGAAATTACTCTTTTTTAGCTAATGATGTAAATTTTAAGGTAACGTGTTCGTTACTTCCAATATAAAATACAATATAATGGACAATTAATTTTATAATCCATAATTCTTATAAATTTATATTACATTTTAAATATTAAAAAAATACAATTTTTTTTTGTATAAATTAATATTCGTTATACATTTATTTTATAGTGATTCATATCATTGGATATAGTGTTGTTAAACGGCTCGTTTTGAGCCGATTTTTAAAAACGGCTAACTCAATATTTTAACCGGAATAATATTACACAAGCCTGAAGATTTTGTTTGTAGAAGGAACAAAGGTTCTGACATATATTCATGGCTTAGGCAATATTTTTCTGGCGAAAATAATGAGTTAGCCATTTTTAAAAATCGGCTCAAAACGAGTGGTTTAACAACACTAATTGGATAAATAGGTCCATTTTTATCCGCTTTAGACGATTATAAAAATGGTGAAACAATTTTTTAGCCAAAAACTTTCTTCAGCCCTGAGTGGTTATAGCAGTTTTATATATCAATACTTTATAACAGCATTTGTGCATAAATTTATATTCGACAATTTTTGTCAATTTTTAAGTCCTAAAATAATATAGAAATTTTGGGATGTTCGATAATGAACTAAAAGATGAATTTTAAATTTTATTAATATTTTAAAAAATTGCCCCTATCCTTTTTTTAAAGCAAATTTCGGACTACGCACCTGGTTTTTTTATAATTTTAATCCTATAATAATTTTAATTGGTATACTATTTCTCCACATCAAAGAAATAAAATGTCGATCTCAAAAAATAAATATGAAATTGACTAAGTTTAAAGATAAGTTTAAAAAAAAATTCTATTTTGCTATTATATAAGCTACTTTAGCATAACTTTTAAAATAAATTCTAAAGATTGACGTGTAATGTTATAAGATATAACAAGTTATAAGTTTAGTTTTTGCAAAAAATCATTATAGAACTCAGCCTGGCACTTGCTAAAAAGGTAAATCGGTTATGTAGTGAAAATGATTTTTTCCAAAAGTCAGATAACAGCGTTATTATTCTAAAAAAAGTAACGCGTTATTTTTTAGGTTACACGTTACTTTATATTCAATTATTGTTTTTTTATTAATGTTTAATTATCAGTGACCTGTAGAGTATCATTTGCACGGCCCGGCTCATGTTTTATATTTTCAGGCTCAGCCTAAAATTTTTTTAAAAAAAATTAAAATGAGCCTATTGGACATTTTAAGAATAGTTTATCAGCGAATATGAAATCCATATATAATAACTTTTCAAATTATCTTTATCTCCCAATTTGTCATAAAATTTAAATCTCCACACTTTCAATTCAACTGGTTAATGGTAATTCCCTTTTTTCTATTAAAAAGTGTATATCATATTTTAAATATTGAGTGAATCCTTGTTGCTTCTAATTCGATAGAATATCACCTAAAAATGATGATTAGTTGACAATAATTAATTTAAATAATATTTTACTAGAAATATTTTCTAAGGATAGAAAAAAATTAGTAAATATGATAAGTGAATGACTGTATAGTTCTTGATATAATTGTGTCCGAAATTAGTTTTATGTATATATAAAATGTACTATTCATGTTGATATCGTGTTTCGGGAATTAATATGTTTGTTAATTAAAATATGCGGATTCATACGTAGATTTGATGTATGAATAATATTTGTATTAAATTATTTATAAATCTTTATTTATTAAAAAAAAAGAATCGTATAAAAGAAAAGAAAAAGGGAAAAGACCAACATTTTTTAAAATTATTTTTAATAATTATGTTATTCTATTTTAAAGTATCATTTAGAAATTGTCGAATTATCGAATAAAGTTTAAAAAAATGGAAAACATGCATATATTTAATTCGATACATATATTTAATTTATAAATACCCCGGGGAGGATTGTTTTTAATATTGGTGGCCAAGTCTTTATATACTAATTAAGAGAAGTAAATATAGGGTAAATGCAGCCGACTTACAAAATGAATTTTTCAAGTTACAGGGTAGTTTAATTACGAAATTAATTTTTCATGGTTTAGTGGAAGTTGTGTTTGATACAAATCAAAGACGATAAATTTTGGGAGAATCGTTATGTTATTTACGATTAGGAGAGCAAGTGTTAAATATTATTTTTTTAAAAAAATAACGGGTCCAAAAAAAACATAAGAATAAAAAAAAAAAATTTTTTCTCCTAAAAAAAGTTACGATACAGAAATAAAAGTTGGAAGAGATAGTTAATTTAATTACTGAAATAAATTGTCATTTTGTAAAAGATATGAAAGTTGAGACAGATAATTAATTATTTGTCGTTTGTTGGAAAGAAAAGAATGGGAAAAAAAATAATTTATTACCAAGATAAAACAAAAAAAAAATTAAATAGCTGTTAATCAAGGGCATAAGACTGGATAAAAAAAAGGGTATATTAAAACTTAGGTTCGAGGACGTTCGAATAATCCAAAAGAGAAAAGGAAAATAAATTCGTGGATGCTCAAATAACTCGATAACAATGGAATAGTGTCGCACGTGGTTTTTGGAAGAGTTTGTAATTGATTTTTGCGAGCGCCCTCAACGTCATAGTGAAGGAGGAAGGTTTCAACCGATGGGCGAGCAACGCCGATGCTTCGGGTGTCATTAAAGGGGACATCTATGGGATAGGTGTCCACGATCTGTAACCGCGTCTCAACCCAGGTTTGTAGCGGAGGTTGGCAGCCATCGGAGTGAACCAATCCAGTAGGATGGAAGGAGCGCGATAGAGGCGAGTGGCCAGACAGAGAGGAAGTGGCCCCGGTGTGGCCTGTTTCAATGTGGCGGGGAAAGAGAATAGGGCCACCACAGTAATAAACGACGCCTGGAACAATACGTCGCTAGTTAGTTTGGGCCTGGAGCCACCAGAATTTGAAACTAGTTTGAAGGTTTCATTTGAAGCGACTGGACCAGAAATTTTTGAAGGAGAGTTGGGGGATTGGCTAGATTTGGTCATTACTGATGCTGAATTGGAGAGTTTGGGGGAGGAGGAGGAATAATGATCAGAAGTATATTAATGGATATAAATTAATTCCATCAGATAGGACATGATAATAAGATATGATTTAAGTTGAGATATTAATTTATTATAGTGGAAAAAGTAGAATTATTAGTTCTATTTTATTCATACTAATAGAATAATAAATAAGGAAGTCAGGGATTTTTGGCTGTATTGGTTCCTTGTTGTTGTGTACTATGTTTCAAAAATTTTTTTTCTCTCGCTCTGTAATCTTGGGCTCGGTGAATACAGGATCAGGGCATGGCTGAATAGCTTTAATAGTGCTGGCGTGATATAATTGTGTCCGAAATTAATTTTCCGTATTATATAAAATGTGCTTATTAATATTGAATTATTATATTAATTAATGTTTGGTATTATATAAAATGCGCTTATACATGTTGATATCGTGTTTCGGGAATTAATATGCTGTTAATTAAAATGTGCGGATTCATGTGTATATATGAGGTATGAATAATATTTGCATAAAATTATTAATAAATAGAAAAAAAGGATCGTATAAAAGAAAAGAAAATTAATTATTATATTATTTAATTATTGTGCCTTTCAATTTTATTGTCATTAGAAATTGTCTAATTATCCAATAAAATATAAAAAAGAAAGAAAGCAAAAGAGTTACATTTCGATATATATATTTAATTTATAAATATCCCGGAGAGGATTGTTTTTAATAGTTCTGTTATACATAGTTTTTAAATATATCTTATTTATTTTTTTATTTATAGATAATAATGGCGATTCAAAATATTCGGCCAGGCCCAGTATTAAAAAAAAAATTTTTTTTAGGCCAGTCCCAAGTATGTTTAATTTTTAGGTTATTTCTGTAAGTATCTGATGTAAATGTTTATGTCTAATATTTATTAAAACCGTGTTTTTATAATAAATCTTCTTTCAGTTGTCATTTTTAGGAGTCTTCAATTATATTAAAGTAGTACTAGTGAGGATAATATTAGTAAATTATGTTCATGATTAAAAAAGAGGAACTGAATTTAAAAACAGTATTTGGTTTCTTTTTTGAGTAAGGATGACAAAAAAAATATATCTATGGATTAAAATTAGTGTAAAGGGTTATTCCCAATAATTTTTTTTGTGTAAAATTTTTCTAGAAAAAAGATACATTTAGATAAAAAAAACTTTAACGATCCGAACATTAAAACTCTGTTTATAAAATATAATAAACCCTCTGAAATTCTCAGGATCTATTAAAAGGAGTTCAGTACAGCAAATGTGATGATGAGAAAGGATCTTTAAAACTTTGAAAAAAAAATATTATTAAAATTGTTAAAAAAAAATTATGTTTCAATTATTTATTTATTCGAATTTTGGGAATTTTTGTAATAATGACTGATGAAATAAAAGAAAAACAATTCACCCAGTTCTTTTTTAACGTAGTAACAATTTCGTTTACTTTATAAATAAGTAAAGTAATGGTAGAAACGGCCTAACTTCTAAAGTAACGATTTCACAATTTTTCATAAAGTAACGCAGAATGTTATGAAGTACCTTTTTAAGTAAGGTCGACAGCTCTTATAAAAAAAAAGAGTCAAATACTATATTTCAAGCATAAGCTCAATTTTTAAGTAAAAAGTGTCTCATTAAAGGACTCGGCTTAATTCAACAAAAAAAGATCATTTTTTAAAAAATATACAAAAAAAATTAATCGATTTTTAATAAATAATAACGCAGACTAGAAAATAAAATTTTAAAAGCAAATCCAAAATAAACAAAAGTGTGCAAATTAATAAAAATATATAAAATGAAATTATTAAAAGCCGCCAAATTTTATCTGAACTTAGAAAAAAAAATTTCCCGCCACCGGCTGGATTGAAAAATAAATAAATAAAAAAAATATGTAACGAAAAATTCATAAATAAAAAAAAAGAAGAAAAAAAATGATAGGTCAAATTTTTAATATAAATTATTTTTTTCTTTTATAAACTCGTACTTGGGATTAAAAGCAGGAGAACCGCATACTAGCTAAACTTAATTTTTGTTCTTAATTCTGAATCCTATTCAGAATAGCAGCTTTGACGCCATTTTTATTTTAGTATTTTTTTTAAATATAATGACGTTTAAAAATGTACCCATTCCTATTTTAGAAATCTAAAAAAATCATTATTCAGAACAGATATTTTTAATTATTTTTAAAAAAAAGAAATATAAACAGTTAATTTAGAACAGGGTTTCACAATTCTTCAAAATCAATATTTTTCGAGATAACAAATGATCGCAAACTTTTTGATCAAATTTGGTTTCAATTTTTTTTGTCAAAAAAGTCCTTTGTGACTAAATTTTAAATTTCAAATACATAGGTAGTGTTTTTTGCTAAACCCTGATTAGAGACCTGCAAAGTCCGGGTCACCTAAAAGCCCATGCCAAATTTTTCAAAAAATTACACGGACTGGGCCCAGCAATATAAGCAAAAATAGGGCCTCGCAAATCACATTTTTCCCAAAATGATAACCGGCCAACCCGGGAATTAAAATTATGGTATGGTATATTTTGAAATTCAAAAAATTTGATATACACATTAAAAATGTGATAGCCGTAAAACTAGCACAAAAAAATGTTAACGTGCCTGGTTTTGAGATCTCTGCCCTAATTTAAAGAAAAATTCAAGAAATTTTAAATATTCATATTATATATAAATATTTCAATCATAGAATTACAATAGCTCTAAATCCCCCCCTTCCCCATTTCCTAGTCTTTTTTACTACTGGACCTAAAGATTTTTATATAAAAAAAAACCATGAACCAGTTAAAAATTAACTCTTGATTGGTAATATTAAATTTCGCATGCGTCTGTCTTATTTCCTTACCTAAAATCAATTACCTGTGGGGGAAAAATGTTTTATCGTGCTGAATTATATTTATACCTCGTCCCAGCCAATTGGGGCCATACATAGGAGTCAACTGTAGCGCCATTTTGTGATTTGTATGTCGATTAAATGAAATAATGTGCATTCATAATAAATAAGACAATTAGTCGAAGTGCAAACCATAAAATAGCGCTAAAGTGACTCCTATGTATGAACATTTTCAATTAACGAATCGCCAATCTAGTAGTAAATATCATTGGTCCAAACTCGACTAAATTCGAATTTAGTTAGGTATTTATGTTATTTCGCGTAAATGTCCAAAATAACTAAGATTAGCAAATAATTTTCTTGAACTAAATTTGGGAATCATATGTTATTCATATAATATTATAAAAGAACATATATGAGTTATGCAAATTCGTTCTAAATACTTGGACATATGATTAATTCTCAAAGTCCTAATTAAGTCGAGCTAGGATGAGAAATTAAAAAAATAATAATTGCATTAACTAGTTAAGATTCAAAGTCCTGTCCATATTTGATGGACTAATGACCGAACTGGGTTAAAAAATGGTCTGGACTACGCTATTTTTTCGCCCAGTCGTGGTCAAATACTTATTAACTTTGATTATAAAATCGAAGAAAACAATATGGGGTAAATAAAAACTGACCTACGAGAGCTATAAAAACGTTGGGGGTTGAGAAATTTTTTATCTCGGCGAGCCAATTGGTGAGAGCTTCGAAGCTGGATTTGTTAGTTACATCATAAACTAAAATTATAGCGTTAGCGCTCCTGTAGTAACTCTGAGTTATTGACCGAAACCTTTCTTGACCGGCGGTGTCCCATATTTGAAGCTTAATTTATTAATGCGAATACCAAAATTTTATGTTATTTTTTTATGTACGGCTGTGTCGAACCACAAATTATCATAAAAAAATTCCCCTTATATTCACCAAACCGATCCGATAATAGGTATTGGTTACCGGATTAATTTTAGGCGAATACAGGAAGATAGATCGGGTGGATGAGCATAACTCTAAAAAATAATTACATTTGAAATGATTCTAATTTACCCTTATGTCACATAATAAAATGCATTCATTCGGAATATTTAATTAACTAAATATTAAAATATAGCATGCATGTTTATATACAAAAAAAATGGTATAACAATCCCTTGTATAAAAATAATGTCTTTATCGATTTTTATTTCTGGGTGAGAAGGAAAATAGCTGACTTATTATTAAAAATGAATTTATGAAATTCATGAGGAAATTTTAAGGCAGTATCCAGTAGAGTCAGCATCATAAAATTTAGTGTTAAAGTTATATGACGAAATATTGTGAAACAAATATATCGAGGGGAAAGTAAATATATATATTGGCTTTGTACTGTAAAATATATATAACCGATGATTTATTCCCCACACTTAAACTTACCCTTTTGTTTTATTAGTCTTAATAGCAGCTGGTTTAACTGGGGTGATAACAAAATGAAACACAGAAAAATTCACACGTTTGTAAATAAGTGTCGCTAGAAGGAGATAATACCTCTAAAATACTTCTAATTTATGACTACTTTACTTACATGCTAAGGTATAGACCTATAGTGAAACCAGGAGAGAGAAAATATAAATAGATAAATAAATTATTAAATAGTTACAACTAAGATTAAAAATTAAATTAACAAAAATTACTTGTATTAATAGCAAAAATAAGATTGACTAAATATAATAATTTCAATAGCATAACTAATATTTTGCATTAAAGACGATAATAAAATGAATGCCTCAGTAAAAATTGGAGGATTTATAATGTTGAAACCAACTGCATTTAAATTTCAGTAGCTTAACTTAATCTTCCTTTAATTATTTCCTTATTGTTGTAGAGATTGAGGGAAGGAAGTAAATACAATAGTTAACTTATAGAAAAAATTAATCAATAACCAAATAGGAGAGATCACTAAACAACCCTTGATAACGCAAATTATTTATCCTGGGTAGCAAGGTTTTGTAGGCATCCTTGAAAAAAAAACTCCGGCATAATTATAAGAGGAAGGATCTCTGCATAATTAATTGACGTCCCAGATGGGACGTTTAAGTAAAGTAAAAATGGGTGGATATAACTAGCCAAATAAACGTAATAAAACTTTACAGATAATTTAAAAATTGGTTTAATTGTAATTTAAGGTTGATCTGTCAGTATGGCGTTAACAAAAAAGCAAACATACATTTTCCATGTAACGTTAAATTTAAAACACCCCCGTGCGGATGATCATCCCTTTATAGCAATATATAAAATCGATAGATTCATACAAAATTTACTAAGCATTTATGGTGTTAAATGATAAAAAAAATTTTTAAAAAAATGAATTAGTTTTATAAAATCACCGAGCCATCACAAAAAATTAAAAGGTTTAAAATTTCCAGAGTTGTTAAAGTATCTAGATATAAAAATGTGGATCTGTATCTAAATAAATTTTTGATGAATGTATCTGATGATTTTAGAGGTATCTGTATATGTTTTTAGATATTTTTAAGATACATTTTGATATACTTTTATTTAACGCTTTTTTCTATTATAAATAAAAATACTTGAGTGTAAAATTTATTTTATTTTATACGAGCATATAAATTAATATTAATATATATATTAAAAAATTATATATAAATGTAAAATATTAAAACTTATATATAAAAGAATATATAAATATTAATTAAATAGTAATTAAATATTATGTCCGATTTATCAATAACAAGCAAATTCTGATATTATAATCTCAAGGAATTTGCCATTTTTAATTGCAATGGAATTGGTATTTTATTTTATTTTATTCTATTATATTAATTTTTAAAATGACAAAAATGACGACATTCCATGGTCAATTTATAGACCATATTTTAAAATAATATCTCAAAATAAAGAAAACAAATCTCTGTTAGTAAAATGTTTGCCATGTCCAAAAAATATGAAAATTTCAGTTAGAATTACCTCAACTTGCAACATTGTAAAACATTTAAGGGTATAGACACTAAATAAATGTTTACAATTTTAATTTAAAATTTTAAGAGAAAACATCAAACACTCCCTAATCCAAATAAAAAAGGGGAAGGAGAAAAATTTATTAAAGAATATATTGGACTAGGCTCATCGTCCATTGATTTTTTTTTCAAGAGACCTCAGACTTTAACCCAAACTAGATGATTTAATATCTGATTTTATTATAGATAGCATTCAGCCATTTTCAATTGTTGCAAATCCATAATTTATATAAATGATCAAAATATTAGCTCCACAAAAAAATATAATTTGCAGACAGACAGTGGTTGCTAGAATTTCCCAAAGATGGGAGAATGAAAAGAAAGAAATCATTAAAAGTCTAATAGAACCATCGTTAATATGCACAACAGCAGATTGTTGAAGTGCCTATCGCCGGTAAACATATTTCCCAGCTCATTATTAAATTGAAAAATTTTAAACAAATGAACCTGAAATTTTGTTTACCACTCTTAAATGCCTTACTTAAAGGAATTGAAGATAGGTAAATTAATAATAAATTAATCAGTATTTTTCTAGGTTTATTGGGACAATTTTTGAAGATGAAAATATTTTGGCAACTATGCTTCATCCTTTTTTTAAACTAGATTGGACATGGTTGCAAATGGATAAAAATTTTAATAAAAAAAACAATTAATACAAAGATTAGTAAGGAATTATCAAAGTCTTCAAATGAGTGCAAATTAACCTGTGAAAAAAAAACCAATAATTTAATATCCGATTTTTTTCAGTATCCCACAGCAAGAGATATGATTGTTAATGATTTAAATTCTGATAATCAACAAATTTTAAATAGTTTTTTCAAAAATGAATGCCGAGATTTTAGTATTTTTAAACAATATCCTGATATAAAAATGTAATTCATTAAATATAACACCACAATCCCTTCCAGCGCTCCAGTTGAAAGACTTTTTAGTATAGCTAAAAATGTCTTTACAGATAAACGAGGATGTCTTAAACCAAAATTTTGAAAATATTTTATTACTGAAATCTAATAATTATTTATAATCATTTAATCATATATTAGATTATTTTATTAATGGTATATAATAATTATTTATAATAATCATATATTATATTAATATCTAATAATCATTATTTTAGTTATATTTTGATAAATGTGATATCGAGTCAATAAATTTTTTAGATCAATTCATGAATTTTCATAATAAAATCTTAATTTAGGTTTATTCAAACCTTATCTAAGAGTATAATAAAAAATGTATCTGTACCTAGATACATTTTAGATTGTATCTGTATCTAGATAACTTTTTAGAAGCTGTATCTATATCTAGATAAATTTTTAAACTATGTATCTGTATCTAGATCCATTTAAAAAGTATCTTTTAACAACTCTGAAACTTTCCAATAAAAAAAATATGTAATGTATTATTTAATGATTGATTATTGCTGGCTTCTTACAATAATAAAATGATATTGCATTTGTAATGGTTTCAAATTATGGAAGCAATATTTTCCCTTGGTAATAATTTTTATTTAAAACTTAGTGAAGAATAAAAACTATCATTTTTTTAATATAAAAACTCATCATCATTTTCAAAAAGAGCATAGGTCAGAGACCTTTATGGGCCAGGCGGCAGGGTATATACCTAATATTACATTTTCTAGTTTGCCTGGGTTTTTTTTTAAAAAAAATTATGGGTTTGGGCCTTTTTCATTTAAATTTAGATAATTTAAAACAGTTGCTAACTTAAAAAAATGTTTCAATTTTCTAATAATAATAAATTTTAGTTTTGCAACTAAAAACACTATATTTCTTGTTTCTATTGAGTAAAATAAATTATATTTTTGGATATGGGTCTTGTCAAAATTATTGATTATTATGGGCTTGGGAATTTTTTACTCCGTGCCTGGGACATGATCAAAAAATCCAGGCCTATTAAGGTCTCGGGTATAGTCCAAAATTTTTCTTATTTGGTGGGGGTTTCCGCCTTAAATTTTATTGGAGGTCTTTAAATTCATTTATTGAAAGGCCTTTATCTAGATTATATTTTTATAAAAATAATATTGTGATTTCACTTATTTTTTTATAAAAATTTTGAATTATAGTCGTTATTTTAGAGTTATTAACTTTTACCAATTTTCCTTCCAAATTCTTCTTGATAGTGATATATTGTATATTTGGGAGGTGGTGGGAGGGGGAGTGCGTAAGGGGTAAATTTTTATTAGCTTAAAATGATATTTACGAAAATAGGCTAACCCCCCCCCCCCCTGGTTATGCGTGGGTGATTGATTGTCCTTCATAAGATTTTCTGAGTCAGCATTACTTAAATTTGATTCTCTTTTGACTTCAATCATGATATCCCATATAAATAATTGACATGAATGCATCATATAAAAATATTGCTATCACATAGATAAACTTATAGAATAAATGTAGATAAGAAATTAAGACATCGTTTAATTATCTAAGTAGTAATTATTGTCACCAATATATATTTTATGTAAATTTAAAACAAACAATATATCACTTGGTAAATTAGATATTATAAGGAAATATTTTTAGTCCTATTCATGTCACACCAAATAGTTTGTATTAATTAATTTTTTGCATTGCTTTTTAAACCAATATTAACCCCCCCCCCCCCCTGTAAAAATCCATTCATAATGTAGTTATATGCTAAATAAAATTAACCATTAAAATTTGATCTCTGGAAGGAAATCACATGGCGCGCAAGAGCCTCAGGCATTATAGAATACTCGGTCTCCCCTATCAGTAATGGTATTGATGTAAACTAATACAATATTGGTACTTAGCGGCCCTAATTGATATTATATACTTATATAGTGAAGCCTCGTCCAATCTGATCAAAAATGGTTATGTTTAGTTGAACATAAAACAGGTAGTATAAAATATAACATTCGGATAAGCATTTTTTTTAAGAAAGGAAATATATAATCATTTATTAATTTAATAAACCTTTATTTTGATTCCATTAATATGAACTGTTTTTATCATAAAATCCACTCCTATAGTTGCGCCTTGACCAAGCGGGAAAATCCCCTGAGATTATAAATAAGAAAAAATAAATTGAATACTCTTAAAATTTAATTACTTTTATATTTGAGATAAAAAGATAAAAATGATTCAAAATTTGAAAAAAAAATGATGATTTTAATAAGGTAATTTATCATACATTAATTATTCAAAATTTATAACAACCTTGCAAAGTAAAGTGTATCATTTTAAGCTTTACTCAATTTTGCAAAACAAATGATATTTTATTAAAGATTTGAAATAAGCATGTGACCGCTATCCCTCTCTAATGAATTTAGTGCGAATTTGCGGCGAAGTATTCAAAATTTGCGGTGAAATATACAAAAATACAACATATTTTGAATACTTGGCCACGAATACACGCTATCTGTGAATTCAAGGTAACACGGGGGAGATATACGATGCCATAGGCCTATTCAAATTTGAATCGAGTCAAATAGTAATGTATAGGAATCGTAAATTACTCGTTTTGCTTGAAGTTGTAGGGGTTTAGAAATTCAGGGCTAACCTCTGGGTTTCTTTTAAAAAAAATTATATAATTTATAGCGCGCATTAACCCCCCCCCCTAATTTTGCGGGAAAACTACTTACCCCTGTGTGTTTCAAACAATTTTTCAAAAAACCTTTTTTATATATTTTAATTATTATATACAAATAATGTATATATATAAATTGAAAGTAGTTCAAAAGTTCGCGGCAAAATTACCTGAAATTAAGCCGAGTTGGTACTTTTTACAATAGGTCTGCAAAACTTGACTCAATACCAGTATATTGGGTTTAGGAAATTGTGACTATTTTGATTTTGTCGAAAAAAAAATGTTTGGTAACATAATTTTTTTGAAAAACTTCTTTAAGCTTATTATTTTATGCGAATTTTTAAATCAGGATTAGGATCAAACCAGACCGGATTGAATGACGTTAGTCCTTGGAACCAAGGTTTACCCCTCGCTTGGGATTATATATGCATAGATCGATTTGCCAGATCTTTTTCTGCCAACTCCATCACGAAAGCGGAGAATATAAAAACCAATAAATATTGTCACCTTAATAATGTTTTGTTGGCTCTGGTAGTAGACCTGTGGATCATTTGGACCCCAAGCCCTAAAATTATTCAAAACAATAGGGCAAAGTTACATTTAATCACAGGTGATCCAAAAGAAGGCTTCTACCTTCGACAAAGAATAGCTAACGAAATCTGTCGTTCCATTCCATTTGCACATCCATACATGGATCATTAAGCCCCACCGACCATACTTAAATATATATCCTTTTTTTAATTATTTTTTTTAATTACCCTTCTTTTATTATATATTTTTATATTGGACAGTTAAACATACTAAATAAAATAAATAATTAAATTTTAGGGGTAACTTTTTTTATATATTTTCATTTTCGGATCGAACAGGGTGGGGAATATGGACAAAAAATCAAAAAAAATAATAATTCCCAAACTTTCGAAACTTTGAAGAAGATAAATAATTAAATAATTAAATAAGCTAAAATATAAAAATATATACAAAATATAATTCTACAAAATTTTATAAATTTTAAAATTTAGCATACGATTTTCATCAAAATTTTAAAATTTGCGAATGTAACTTATAGAATTTTTTGTATTGGACATGGGCTGAACAATTTTCTGAAAACCAATATTTACTAAAATATACTACGGGCATTACATAATACCATAATTTTTTCCCCCAAAATATATAATATATGAAAATGATTACTTCGTAGAAATCGCGATTCTTAAAAAAAAAATCGATAAATATTATATATATTTTTTAAAGTATTATATATTAGACATTAGAAAAATTAGGATAGAAGGGGGAAAGGTCAAATATTTTTTTTCATCCGAAAACAAGTTTTTTTTAAAGACGCATCTAAAAAAATAATCAAACGCGTGGTCTTTATCGCAAACGTGTTACATAAGAATATTAAGGTTTATAAATAAAACTTCATTCAAAATTTGCAATAAAATATCAATTGGGGAGTGCAAAAAAACAAAACGTGGGAAACATCAAAATCCAGAACCGACAACCAGTATTAATAGTTTAAAAAAATTCTATGAATGTTTTGAACTTATGTTTTATGCGTAAAAAATTATTAAATATCTAGGTGTTGGTAACTTGTAGTTAAACCAGCCAAGCCCAGAATTTGATTTTATAAAAAAATTAGAACTTATAATTTATATTTTAATTATACATATATATATATATGTTAAATAAGAATAAATTTTATTTTATTTCAACTTTTTTTTAACTTGATGTCGCTGCCAAAATTTATGTCAAAAATTATTTCTTTCTTATACGATTCTTTTTTTTTGTGTCAGATTAGATTGGATAAAATAGTTTAGAGAGCGAGGGGGCTGGATCTCTGATCTATAAGTTCGAATTGATTTAAATAATATTATCAATCAAATTTATAATATTCACTCAGTGTCAAAAGCCATTTTTTATATATATATATTTATGTATGTTGCACTTTGACTGTTCCACTTTATTTAAGTAGGGGAGGGAGGGGTTACTGTGTTTTTCAACTAAAAATTTATATTTTACTCCTCGTAGTGATAATTTGACTGAAAAGAATATTAAAAATAAAATCGTATAATGAATCACATAACAGTAGGGCGTACTGTGAGGCGCGGTAGCAGAAATATTTTTTAGATATAAGTCCTGCCCATTGGTGGCCCGCTTCTTTGAAAAAAAAGCTTATAAGAAATAAATCTCAAACTTAAAAAATATATTTTACTCTCTATTTTAATGTTTGCGCATTAAATTTAAATTATTAGAAAATAATTTTAATTTAATGATGTTTATCTATTTTATACTAAGTATATATAAGAAAAATAATAAAAAACAATGGCGATGCAAAATCGTTCCCATTTGATCCAATTTTTAAAAACGGCGAACTCAATATTTTAGCCAAAAATATTGCCTAGACCTCGAGATTTCGATAATAGATGTCCAAACCTTTACGTGCTATCTATGAGCAAAATTCTCAGGCTTGCGTAAATATTTTTATAGATAAAATACTGTTAACCGTTTTTAAAAATCGACTCAAGATTTAAAAATAACTAGGCTTATGGAGTAGGGTAATTATCGAATTTAGACCGATCTTTATTTTTGATACGAATCGATATTCGTTACTTCTCCTGAGATCGAACGGTTAAAAGCGGTAAAAATAGAAATGGAAGGGTTTTTAAGCAGTTTATATAATCAGTCATTAGTTTGGTTTTTTATAAAATTTAACCATATAACAGTTTTTGTATATTTTTATTTGAATTTCAACTTTAAATATATATATAATTATAACCGGAATTCTTTTAAACACATTATACAGGTTTTATAATCATTATTATAGTTAATCAAATAATTTTTTTTTAGTAGTTCAATATTTATTTGACATCATGGTAATAATGGGAGAATGGTTGGGGTAAAATTTTAAACGTGTATTGATTTTCTTAATGTAAAAAAATACATTCATATTCCTGTTAAATTAAAAAAATGATCAATTATTCAAGCCAGACCAAAAAACTGTGGTAGGTGGGATCAAGCATGGTCATAGATTTTTTTAAACTTATATTAAAAAATATATTAGACGAAAAATACAAAGCCAATTTTCATTTAAATCATATCCTAAGCAATATATGATTAAATTTTTTTATAAAAATGGCATAAATTGTTTTAAAAATATAGTCTAAATATATCTTGCAAAAAAATACTCATTGTAGAGTGGAGTAGAGATTTGCAAATAGTGGCCTTTCCAAAGTCCAGCTGTGAAAATTAAAAATAAAAATATAATGGGCTGGGATACTTATAAAATTTTCAGGTTCAGGTAATATCAGTGTCTTAGAAATGTCTGATTTTAATAAAATAATGGGAGAACTTAGACATATAATTATATTCAAGTTAATATTTTGACTACTACTATTTGAAAATAATTACAATATGCTTATTTCTTTGTTGTCCAACTAAAATATTAAATCTATAAATATAATATAAGTAAATTCTCAAAAAATGAACAAGTGATCCCATTATAAATATATAAAAATGATTTAAAAAACAGTTGTGAAATTAAAAATGTAATGGCAGGAAAATTCGAAACAAAATATTTAACAGGCTAGGGTAGACTTCTTGTAAAATTTTAACAGGCTGAGCCTGATCTTTTGTAAAATTTTAATGGGCTGAGGTATAAAAATATCTTAAAACTTATAACAGGCGACCAGACTATGCAGGGCAGAAAATTTAACAGGCTGGACAGGGAGACTTGTGTAAATTATTAAAGGGCCAAATCAAAAGTGATATGGAGTAGTATGTAATGTATGTGATGGCAAAAAATATTGAAAATGTTAGAACATTTGGTTTTCACTTGTACGAACTAGATATGCATATTAAAACATTGGCATTGGCTGATATTTCCAATTTTGACTCAACCAGTGGTCATTGCCCATTAGCATAGACTGATAATATTTTTATCAATAAATTTCTAGACTGCTAGAAAAGTAAGATTTATTATTTCCCTCTCTTTCTTTTTACTTTTAATTTATTTTACCTTATAAATTTCATAAATTATTTATAAATGATAAATAATATTGATAAATTGTATATTTGCTTAAATTTTTGATTAAAACTACATAATATAATTTTTTAGATAGTTAGTATTGGTAGTATCAACCAATACCATATTTATATTGGTAGTTTTGGTTTCACATTCAGTATTTGCATATTAACATAAAAATGAGGTATAAAAGTGGATGTCTATGTAAAATGATTAATGTTTATTTAACTATGTGGAAATTGTTTTCTAATCCAAATATAATATTAAAAAAAGTATTTTAAGTTTAAACATAATATTCAAGAGGACCATTTGTCTCAATAAAATTTATTTTATATTAAGGTAAAACAAATAATGCACACATAATGATGTTGGGATGATAATAAGATAATTATAATTTGAAAAAAATGATACCATATAAATATATTGGTATAAAATATTTAGAGAGATAAATAATTTTTGCTAAATCTAGTTTTAAATATCAAAAAAAAATTTTTATAACATATTTTTAAAAAATTTAGTCATGCCAAAATATTACAGATAAACATAAGGGGTAATATATCTAGTATACACCAAATTTCAAATATAATTATATAAAATGAGCAAAAACCTGAGTAAAGCGTTTAACTATGCAAGTCTTTCCAACACCAGCATTACCAACCAAAACTATTTTGAAAAGATATTTATAATCATCCATACAGCAAAATATTAATTTATCATTATCATAAGTTTAAAAAATGGCATTTAAAAATGAATGCATGGCTTACATATGTTATTACAAAGGATCCGACAAATGATGAGTAATGCACGTCATAATACAACATATATAAAATAATAACCGTATTTTATTAAATCCTTTATTAAAAATATATCCAACTTATCTAACTTATAACTAGCTGAATGATATAATTTGATCTAAAAAAACTAAAAATCAGGGATATGGTATTGAAAAATAATTTAAATTATATCAATCAGTTGAAAAATTTTGGAATAGGTATATAATATTCATTTTTTGCTCATATTTTCTTCTTTCTTTGTTTTATTTGCAAGTTCAATAATTTTTATAGGAATTACATGAACTACCATATATTTAACCATAACCCGAAAAGTTGGATGGGGAGGGCTCACTTTAATTTTAAATCTTTTATACCTCACTCGATTTAATTTTAAATACTTATTACGTAATTTTTTTTATTAATTATAGAAATTTTTAAATTTCAAAATTAAAAATATTTTATATACTTTTTGTAAAGATTTTTTTGTAAAAATTTTTTGTAAAGATTTTTTGTAAAGATAGAATTCTTGTTAAAGTTAATTTTCATAAGTAGATGTATCAAAAAGTTACCATGTTAAAATTAGAACTTTTGACAGAATATCATAATCATCTTACTTGAAATGTAACTAGTTACCGTTAACTAATTTTAGTGTTACATATTGTAATATTATTTAGGGTTGCTAAAAAGACCAATTTAGGTCGATTTTTAAAAACGGCCTAATTATGATTGTAGCCAAAGTAATATTATGTAAGCTTGGAGATTTGGCTCATAGATGGCACAAATGTTTGGTAGTAGTGATGCAAACTCGCTACATGAGGGCCATTTTTTAAAAACGGCTAACTCAATATTTTAGTCAGAAAAATATTGACTAAGCCTCGAGATTTCGCTTACAGATCTACAAACATTTGACAATCTATGTAAAATCTTCAGGTTTGCTTAATATATCTGGATAAAATACTATTTGAACGTCTATTTGACAAATCCTGAGGCCTACATAATATTATTTTTGTTAAAATCTTAATAGGCCCTTTTTAAAAATAAACACAAATCGGGCATTTAAACAGTTATAATAATTATAGTTACCATAATTTATGTGGTTATTTATATTATAATATATAATTTAATGCATTAAACAAAAGTTGTTTTAAGAAGAAAATAATCATATTATTTATTATACTTATATCTGATATCTACTTTAGTAAGGAATTTTTTCTGCTGCGGAGATATCTTTCTCTAATCATTCTGCCATTTTGCTAGCACTTATAATAATATTCTCTAATAATACGATTCTCTAACGTGCGAAGTCTTTTATAAAAATATTAAATTACATATTTTGGTTGTAAGAGGGATTTATTTCCCTGACCCCTCTCAGCTGTCTAGTCATGTGCTAACCATTTTAATTTAATCTAAGTTTGATTAAAAAAATTATTGTTCCACCAGCAATCGAACCTAAGTCTTGCTGGACACAGGACTTCAAATACAAGGATAGAGAGTACAGCATAAAATAGTCATTGACATTGAAGGCTGGGGGGAGGGGGAGGAATTAACAATGACATTATCATGATTTGAATAAAAATGAATGAGAATGAGGGGATAGGTTTGATTTTAATTTTTTCTTTTGCTAAATTTTATTTGATCTCTTTTTTGCTTGATTTCATATGAGGAGATGGTATAGAGGGAAGGAACATACAATTTAGAGAATGGCATTGGATAAAATTTTATATCCGATAATATTGCTATTGGTTTGTCCACCAATACCTTTCAGAAATTGTTGATTCATGGAGGTGTAATGAATTAAATTAAATAATAAGAAAGGAAAAATATAAATAAAATAAAATAAATTCAAAAGTTAATCAAATAATTATGTCGATTATGAAAAAGTTAAGATAGATCAATATTAAAATAATAGGTTGTAATTGCCCTTCTATAACAACGGAGTAAGCCTTTAATGAGTCTTAGAACCTTAATCTCTCGGTCATATTGTTACTATATAATTAAAGTTCGAATAATTAAAACTAGCAGTGTTATTACTGTAACTAATCTAATTTGAATTAAAATTTATACTTTATTATATATTAGATAATAAGTATATTCGATTATTTTATTAAATGTGTTATTTGTTAAAAATAAATGTCAGAAAAATCTTAATTTTCGTAATTCATTCCCTCAATCATATTCAAAATTAAAAATTTTGTGTTGGTTGTATAGTGTTGTTAAAAAGCCCAATTTGGGTCATTTTTTTAAAATGGACTTATTAATATTTTTCTAAAATAGTATTATGTAAGCCTAGAAATTTGGCAAATAGAAGTCAAAACCTCTATGCCACATATGAGTAAAATTTTCCAGGCACACTACATAATATTATTTTAGTTAAAATCTTGATCGGGTCATTTTGAAAAATCCACCCGAATGGGGCTTTTTAATAATATTCGTTTTATAGTATGGAATTTAAATTTTATAAGCAGTTTTTTAATTAAATCAATTATTTAGATTTAATTTGATCAAACTTCTATTATTTTTTAAAAATTATTTTATTTAAACAATTTTAATCTAATGTAGTGAATACAAATAGATTCTATTTATTTATTGTAAATAACAACTCATTTCTTGACAAATTTTTTTTTAAAGTAAAATATAATGTATACTATGATTTGTTTTTTTTATTGAATATATAGTTATTTTTGTTACTGCACTAAATAAGTTACGTAATTAACATAATCTTTTTAAATAATTAAGGTAACTAGAATATAACTATAATGTACCTATTAGATAACTTCAACTAGTTATATCAAGTAAGGTAACTTTTTACTAAATGACCATATCTAATTTAAAACTAGACTATGATAAGAACTGCCCCATAATATTTGAAGTTTGGGGCTACAACCAAAGTAATTCATAATTAAAACGAAACGGTGGAATCCAAAAATTATGCTAAAATCAGTAATTTGATACTAACTAACATTGACACTGGGGTTGATAGTTACTGTTCATTAAGCACATGCGTCTAGCCCTGAATATAATAAATAACTGTTTATCTCAATTTTTGTTTTAGAATTTACCTTTGATTTGTAAATTAAGCCTTCTTAATTTATTTCAATGGTAAATTTCTTTATTTTGCGATATATTTTAATTTTTTTTTTTAAGTTAAATATAATTTTATAATATATATTGTTATGTTAAATAAAATGGATATTAAACTATCTATCATTCTATTATTTACCAGTAATAATTATTTGAGTGGTAGTGTGTATTTTAGATTTGTATTATCTTAGAAGTCGGCATATGTCAGTTTAGCCACGCTAAAATGTATATAATTTTATGTATCGTGAAAATTGATTCACCATTCTAGTTCACAAATTATTATCCTTAATAAATTTGTTGGTACCATAAATAAAAAATTTTCTGAAGAGTGGTACACAGGGGAATGACAATTTTTGCATATTAGGATGGAATTTAACTAGAAATTTAATCATTTTTTTAAAAGAATTTATTTACATAATAGATAAATTTAGAATATTATAGCAAAATTGGGTATACTAATCATAAATTATGTAATATTATAATGTATGCATTTGGATTATTTTTAGTCATACGTTCTACTGTTTAGGTTTTATTTTTTAAAAATCTGATTTTACCAAGAAATGTTATCCATTATGTTATAGATTAATTCAATAAATTTTAGACAAATTGATCAGAAATATATGAGTGATTTTATTTTTTATTTATATTGGTAATACGCGAAGGCGAAATCGATTAGGATTACTCGAATTGATTGTAAGTAACAGTTTTATGAAATAGTCTTAATAAGATGGAAAGTGTTATTTATTTAGGTTTATTATCTTTATTGTAATTAATCGGAATTAAAGCGAAAATATTTGTATATCAAATATTTCAACCTCTCCTCTCCTTTGGTTTCTCTTACGCATAATAATTATTTCAAAATTTCCCCTTATTATAATATATTTAAATCATTTTCTATTTTTAAATCTGTGAAAGGCCTTATTTTTAGTTGTATAATTAAAATTTCTCCTAAAACAGAAACTTTTTTTTTAAGACTCGTCCTGATGTTTTCGAAATAATTAAATTATTTCATTAAAATAAATTTAGATGTTAATCATAGAAAATCCCCAATAATAAAATCGAATAAAAATTTAAAATATATTTAAACTAATTTTTGATAAATAAAAAATTATATTTGCCAAAAAATGAAGTTTTTTTTCTCTTTTGTTTGAATGAATTACGTTCCTTCAAATCTTCAAATCTAGCAACGAGTTAGCAGAAAATTTGCGCTAGAAGAAAGTGCAATAAAACTCTTGTCCTTTCATGTTTAATGTTCCTAGTATAAAAATATTGGTTATAAAAAAAGCGAGAAAATTAATTATTCTGTTATCACGTATATATATTTTTAAATATGTTACAGAAAAGTAAGAAATATAATGTATTATTGATGAGGTTGTAATGTTTTCGCGCAAATGGCATCGTATTATAATAATTCACATAAATTCAGGATCGCGGATGAGGGAAAAGGCTTTTATTTTTATGAGATTATTAGTGAAACTAAAAATCTAGAAAGTATAGGGCTGAGTTGAGCTATTTACACTAAATTTTTATTAAACAAAACTCTGCGTAATTATTTTCAGGTAGAACATATTTTTACAATCGATTATAATTGATTGATTAATCATAAGTGTAGTCTATATATATGTATAATATATATTATAACAAATCAGATCAGGCTTGTAAATGTATAATGCTACTATAGATATTTATACGCGCTATTTACGTAATACCAATTATAATGATTAAAAAATAATAATAATCAAGATTATTTATGATTTAGTAAAAGTGAGAAGAAGAAAATAATTGGCAGTATGAAGCTGTATACTTTTTTTTGTCTAGTTCAGTTCAATTATGAGAGTTTGAATTATTTTCTTATTGCGCTTATTTTTAATAACATATTTTTTTGTGCTATTTATATTTTAAAATT